AAACATCAATACATTTTGGATAATGAATACATTTTGGATAATGTGGGTAAAAAGGCAAATCGGTATAAAGCAATTAAAGGTTTTCGTTCAAGAAATTACAAATACCGATTATGTCTTCTTCGCTTAAAACGTCCGGGTTCACTTTTCCTTGAAGATTCTCAAACTCGTCCTGGAAAACTAAACGGAGCTTGGCCTTGAGGACCTCCTCGCCGTCGTCCTTGTAGATCTCCTTCATATCCTGAAACTTCCATCCATCAATCGCCAGCCGCCAAGCATGGCCTTTGCTGATCACATCCTGGTCGAAGAGAGCCTTAAAACTGGTCCGAGCCCAGTATGTCTTCTCCTTGTCCGCAAAATACTCCTGGACACTCTCCACGCTCATGGAGTATTCCTGGAGGAGCCGCAGGTCGCAACCTACAGCCTGCAGGGCATCTCTGAACTTCCGGGCATTGAAAACGACGATCCCTGGCTTTATCCCCTTGTCCTTGAAAATAGCCGAGCCTCTTACGAATCCACGACAAACGCGGGCGAATGCGTCGTACAATCCAGCTTGCATTAGCAGGTCGACGAGGTTGCACGAGTCGACCATCATGAAGTCTCTTATCACGCAGACGACTGGTTGCCTCTCCTTGAGCCATTCCACCAGGAGAGTCAGCGCTGCCCCAAGTTCAAGGACGTCATCTTCAGGAATAGCTTCGCCTTTTTTCTTCATGGTCGATCCATTCCAGTCAAGATCAGCGATCCAGTTAAGATACTGTCTATCCAGGGATTGGGTAGAAGTAGGCCTTACATACACTTCCAGATGATCCTCTTAAAAAAAAAAAGGGGAGAAAAAAGATAGAATTTCGTAAACTACTTTTAAATTGACACTGAATTAGCAGTTTGTGTAGCGATGGCTACTTACCTTCAAACACAGCAGTGATCTGGGCGAGACAACTGCCCCACTTTTTGCCCGTCCAGACAAGACACAAGAAAACGATATTCATGTTTTCATCCAGGACTACTTGCGGTACTGTCCGAGATGTGTACTTCACTCCAGCTGCCTCTCGAACTTCCTGGTTTTCTGCCATTGTAAGGATGAACCTAGAACAAAAATATATAATTTGTGAGATGGTTCGGAATAGAAGATACAGTTCACGAACGGTAATTACATAACCTGAATAGATACATAAACCTATCAGTCGATAAATCTATCTATCTGTATGTATGTGTGCATATATGTATACACATATATGTGTATGTGTGTGCGTTTGTGTGTGGTGCGTGTGTGGCTATCATCATGTGTGGAATTCATGGTGAACAGATTGCAACAGGAACAACGAAGGGAAGGGCAAGAAGCAATAGCGAAAAGGCCTTCGGCATATTCGTGTGTTTTCCTGCCCTTCCCTTCGTTGTTCCTGTGGCTATCATCATCAATGAATTGAAGTTTCAACGTGAGCCGCTGTGGCTCTCCATCATATGAGAAGTAGTCAGGGGTAACGATTTAGCGAAGTTCCCAAGATTCTTTCTCTGTTCGCAGTTCCTACTAACAAGGCGCGCTGTCTCTCCCATTTTCCAGTTACACTGTACATACGCCAGAATCACTGAAGCAATCTGAATGGCTGCATCAATCTAGCTTCACTGTCCTGCTGCCGAGTCTCACCATATTCTCGGCACGGTTACCAGGCTGATCCAGCGGTTTGGGATCTCTTTGTGCATGTATGTGTGTTGGTGTGTGCCTATATAAATGGTAAACATATGTCTATATATCAATATATGAGAGAGAGAGAGAGAGAGAGAGAGAGAGAGAGAGAGAGAGAGAGAGAGAGAGAGAGAGAGAGAGAGAGAGAGAGAGAGAGAGAGAGAGAGAGAGATTTGATAAACAGATTTGTTATATGTTCATGTTTTTATCCCTGTGCGTGTGTGTTATATATGTGTGCACATGTGCGTATATCATGAATTCAAATATGTACACATTTGCATGTATCATTTGTGCGCTCTGGGGTGTTTTAAACGTACAGGCCTACATGTAATCAGTTATCTTCACTCTATTTTTTTTATTGTGTATAAGGCTATCATGCATTTATATATGAAAAATCTTTATACATTTCTTTGGTCGAATTTTGAATACTATTGAATACGAAATGTAATACTCGTAATAACGCGACCTAAGATAACAGAAAACGGGCTTCTTTAACATTTGCCAACAAAGTTTCTTTATGATTATGTCGATGTTATACACATTGAAACACACACTTAAACACAAACACACTAAAACACACGCCGGGGCATAACATTAAGCAAAACGAAATTAAAACCTTTAGCATGCAATATTTCACATCAAAATATGGAGGCGTGATACTTTACCGTGAGACTAATAGACTGACTGCTACATGACAAAGGTTTCCCCACTCTGCACAACATATGCATCATGTGCTATGTTTTCTCAATATGACAGCGTATCGTAGAGTTGTTAAGTTAGCTTCTTTATCCCAAACACGTGACGTCATGACTTTGAAAGTTGAACGTCACAAATTAGTGGTTGGTGAGCGGGTAAGTCGCTGCCAGACGTAAAAGGTGCGGTAAAACTGTCCTAAAACTCAGTTTACTCACGGCACTGTTGGAATCATACCCTGAACGTTTAAATAATCGAACGATTTCTCTCTCTCACTTACCCTTATATTTTGACAACATTCGGTCTTCATGTTCATATTTTTCACTGTTTAAATACGGATCCAATTGTGTTTTCTTCGTTCCATATTAACCTTTATTTCTTGTTAAACATTGATGGAAAAATAATGTTATCTGTAGTCGGTGTCTGTACATATATTAGTATGTAATCTAATATTTATACCGAACCAACACAAACTGTTTAGGTTAACCCAGCAGAAGAGGTAACTAGTCTTTAAATTCTAGAAAAGATTCTCCATTGGCCACAACTTACGTTCTCGAAAATATTTCCAAACTTTTCTTACAATGATGGTCACTTTACAGAGTTAAAGCAGCAAGGAGACTGCAGAGTGAACAGTGTTGCCAATAAAGTTTTATACAATAGTAACATTTCAAGCTACTGAAAAGTAGGCCTACCAGATCAGCAAAAAAGAACACAATTTATGAAATTCAAACTCTAGCCTTACGCACAATTAACTAATGTCCAAATATATGGGGTTCAATTAGCAAAACCCAGATGCAGAAAGTACAAAAGGCTCCCTCACAACTGTTATCTTTAGACAAAACGTTCAGACTTTGTGTTGTTACAGTTGACCGCTGCCAGCCGCAAAAGGTGCGATGAAACTGTCGTACAGCTCAATCAAAGACTATATAAGAAATATAGAAAAGCACGTATCACGCCGATAAAAAAAAATAAAAATAATAATAATAATAATAATTGTGAGGCCCAAAACTTCATACAGCGCTATCTATTGTTCAGATATGTAACTAAGAAATGAGGACGTTTATAAGGATTTTTAATTTATATGGATTTTTAATTATTATTAATATCATTTTTAGTTTTACAAGTTTAGTGTCAATTAAAGTTCTGCAATGTTTTTTTTTTTCAAATAAGAGATTTGAAATATATCTATCAAAGAATTACTTTATATATTTATAGATTTACAAGGAATTATACAATTATTCTATTCTACAATAACTTTTTTCCTTATTCGAGTTTTCTTTACATGCATTAAAATAAAACTCTTCTGGGTTCTTTCGTCCATAGGTTCTTGAAAACTCAGATTGCAAGTGAAGTTTATTCAGGCTAACATACCACACACGTCAAGTACAAGTGGGCATCTGCAGGATAAAATTAATACAACCTGCAGTCTCCTCGGACTCAGCTTCCTCGCTCTCTGATTGGCTGACGGGGTTGGCGCCTGCGTGGAATGTCTGAGGGACCATGACTCTAAGACAGGATACTAGAATACAGGGCTTATAAGTGAAATTAGTTACATTTAGATATGGATACAGATAACATACATACATTGCAATATTATAGAATGTAATAATAATAAGTAACTAGTAAGTAATACATTTAGCAGATCACTTTATATATACAAGAATATTTATTAATAATTATCTCATGTGTATGCATATTTATATAACCATAAAATCATTCTATTGTTCAAATACTATAAAATCTTATTGCAGAAAATATCTTTGGTGTTAAGGCAATGAATATGAACTTGCAAGTCAATAAACTCCATGTCATTAAATAACAAATCTATTAAATAAACTCTACAATCATTTGGCATCAATAAATTCTTCGTTTTTCATTCATTTTTGTTGTGTCCTTAAATCAAGGATATACAAAGCACATTTCTGTAAAACATTTCTTTATTTGATTTCAATGAAAGTATTAATGAAAGTAGGCCTACAGTTAAAACAACATGAATCATAAGGCATGCAAAAACAAACGAATCCAAAAAAGCAAACCATTCCTTTCCTGCCATTTTTGAGCAAGTAGTTTCAAAATGTAAACAAACAGAAGATGCATTGTGTAAGCAACGCCATCTACTGTTCAGATAGTATACTATCTGCCAACCGTTGGGGCTCACAGGCTTTTGTCATGCTTTTCCATCTTTCTTAAATAGTCTTTGGTTTCGGGTCTCACATTTTTTTTAATTGGTGTATTACGTGCTTTCCTATCTTTCTTTTGTGGTCTTTGCTTGCGCATTGCTGCCCTCTCCCGGGAAATTTGAAAGTACTGTTGTTACAGTTCTCGTTGTTTGTTCCAAGGTGAAGGTTGTTTATAGTGCTACTTGTGTTCCCGATTATTTTTTAACTTTGCGGTGAAATCGATCTCTCACTTGTGCTCTAAAACCCCATGAAAGAAGAAAGATCTCTCACTGAAATCGTTAAAATATCGGGCATAACACTAAACTCGGTGAAATACAATAACCGTGTTCCAGCTGTAGAATTTCGTCAGCGTTTCGTCACTTCCCGACCACCTTCCCCTCAACTTCAAGGTAACCTCATTTTTGTATTTCTAAATGTAGTCAGTGGCGATCTAGAGACACCGGCGG